ATATCATTACTTTATATTTTGCTATGAATAAGGGGAGTGTGTGTTACAATTTATTGAAATATGCACAAACATGCATGGAAATACAATATACAAGCTAAAAAAAATGGTAGAAAAAGACTAACAAGCTTAAAAGTCAATATTTGGTTTGACCACCTTTATTTTTCAGCACAGCCTGAAGTCCTTGGAAAGCAGTCATGTAATTTCTTTAAATAGTCTTCAGGAATGGTTCTCCAGGCTTCTTAAAAGACATTCAAAGCTCTTCTTTGGATGTTGGCTGCCTTTTCTTCAGTTTTCTTTCAAGATGATCCCACCATGCTTCAATAATGTTAAAAACCGGGTTCTGGGGGGCCAATCCATGCCTGACTGATGTGTGTTTTTTCGGGCCCGATATGCATTTTCTGTATTGGCACTGTGTTTGGGATCATTTTCATGTTGAAAAATGAAGCTGTTCCCAATCAGAAGCTTTTCAGATGATACTGCATGGTGGATCAAAATCTGATACTGTGTTTCTTCAGTTATAAATCAGTTTTCACTGGCTGATTGCAGCCACAACCATGACAGCGCCTCCACCGTGTTTTACAGATAGCTGTGGACTCTTAAGCCCCTTTTCCATTAGTACCTACTCGGGTCGATTCGCCATGGAACAACATGACCTTTTTTGATGCTTGAATGATTCACAGGTCAGTGTTAAGCAGCTCAAAAAACCCCCAAAAACCATTCCTCTGAAAATGGTGAAAAAGCAACAAATGTCCTAAAAAACATTTGTGAGACCTTCAGAAAGCCTGGAGAGGTATTTCTCAAGACTACTTTTAAAAATTAGGAGATCTGGCTTCTTCAAAATATTAAGAAATGGGAGAGGAGGGACTGTTGTACAGTATATTTCAACATTTATTATCCTAATCGATCATTCTTAATGTTTTATCACCTCCTAAAAGGGGGGAAAAAAATGAAAGAAATCCCCGGCTATACCCCATTTTCCACCAACCAAGTACTGATGCTCAGTCCAGAATCAATTCCATGCTTTTCTACCAAAAAAAATAAATAAATAATTAACTCACATTCACTGAAAATTACAGTCCCAAATGATGAAATTACTGTCTTCACTGCAAAAAATTCACCAATGATCGTCCACCATAATTTTCTTCCCACAGGCATTACATCCAATTCTGCTGGTAATGCAACATAATCGGTTCCCTTTCCTCTTAAAATGTGCCGGCATTACTACCAGCAATGGCACTATAGCACAGCGCTGCTGTAAAAAAACAAGGTAGCTCAGGTGGAAAGAAAAGGCCTGTTGACGAGCAGCGTTTTCCTGTGACGTACCTGGAGTTCCATTCAGTGAGCTTGGTGGGAGGCAGCCGTCCATAACCTGGGGTAATGGCGGAGGAGAGCGGCGGGCTGGCCACTGAGAAGAGAAGCTGGAAACCCACAAAGCTACCAGCTACCACGGTCAACTCTCTCGTCTCCATCACTCACCTAAACACAATGGGGAGCAGAGGAGGGGGGGGGGAGGGGGGGGATGCACAGAGAGTGATACACATGGACAGGTTCAATCGATGTCTGTCAGTCATTCTGGGCAGTGCCAGAAGAGAAACTGAGGTGGCATTGAGAGCGGAGGGAAACTGTGGTTCAGCCGGCGCACAAAGAAGAGGAGGAAAGGGAAAGAGACAGAGGGAAGAAATATAAGCTGAAGACATGAGCCGTCTAATGCAAGTGACATGAGCGCTTTAGCCAAGAAGGGCACGGTGGGAAAAGGTGGGGTAAAAAGCTTTTATGGATAACAGAGTGGCAGAAACAGAAAAGAAGTTACTGGGTGTGAATACGTGATGCTAAGCATTTAGAACTGAAAAAAGGCTCTGTGTTATTATGCACATTTTGCAAGGGGATTACAGAGAGTTGTTTAGGACACACCAAAAAAAATCCCTGAGAAGAAAACAAAGCCTGAGCGAAAGAGGATTTTCAAGATGAAGCAACAAGTTCAGCTCATGGGATTGCATAAAGAATTTCAGGCGGTATTTTACTTAAAACAATGCTTGTTGTTACAGCTTTGTTTAGGCTTAAACCCCTTTTTTTTAAACTCAATCTTTGCCATTCTGCCTCGCTTCCATGTTGCTGACACTTTATCTTAAAATGATAAGGCAAATTTGAACTAAAAGGAAACCGTTCCAGGGAATGCTAAGCAAACTACCGATTGTAAACATACACTGTGAACAGTCTATATTTGAGTAGCTTATGAGATTTATTTACTTTGACTCACGTCATCGCACCAGAAACCAGTCTTTTCAAACCGCAGGTAATCAGCGAGGGAACGGTGCCACGCTCACTAAAACCACTGAATCAGAGACTTTTTTTTAATGAGTCCTTGAGTAGTTATAGATTTTCATCAGTTCATACAAGCTCAGACAGTAGTCCTATTGGTTGTTACGTTAAACAAGAACAAGAAGTTCAGACATTTTTCTGAGAACTTCCCTAAGTTGAAAAAACAGATAGCATTTAAAGAAGTTCCACTTCTCTAAGAGGACTTCGCACTACAAGTCTCGACACTTATCAGCTTGTGAGTGTTGCCGTTCCTGTTATTTGTTTCCTGCAAGCAAAAATTACTTGCATTTCTCAGCTTCCCCCCTTCAACAGATCACAACCACAATTACAGCCAAATTGTCCATGTTTAAAACAAACAATTTTAAAAAAGGAGGTCAAAAAAGACCCAAAGTTCACAGGGAACAGAGGGTACTGAAGTGCATTCACATAATGACCTGTTATCAGTTATCACCACATCCTGTGTCAGCACTGATCTGGACTCTGTCCTGATAAAACCCCGTTTCCCAAAAAACTGTGACGCTGAGTAAAAAGTAGAGAAGTTTAAATTCTTAGAGTTAACATTGTTTATATTTGGAATTATTTAATGTTATATTTGACTTTAAAATTGCAACAAACACGTAATATCTAATGTTAAAACTGATCAAATGTACTTAAAAAAATAAAAATATGAGATAGCGGTTCTTTCATGAACATTGGGATATTTGCCAGCAAAAAAAATGTAAAGAAGACTTGGTGAAAAATCTCACTGCTAATTAGTCTAACTAGTAAGATAGCTGAGCTTAAAAAGAGCATCCCAAATGGACTGAGTTTTTCAGAAGACCGGAAAAGCGTCACTACTCTGGGAAGGCCTTTGCGGTTAATCAGTTCAAGGATTTAAGGCCCTGCCCACATGTACACAAGTAAGTCTTTTGGTAAACATAGCCCTTTCTATGTATTTTTGCCATTTCTTTACACATAAACAGTGTTTTATGTGACTGATCTTTAAAACAAAAATCCTTCCAATGTAAGGATTTTAAGAAACTCGGTTTCTCCATATACACCTGGACAAGGCAAACAGATTTGGTCTTGTAAATCCAAAGGTGTATATCATGTGCATGTGGACACAGCCCAACCCCAACTGGAGGATTTGATCATTTACTGCGCAATATTACTAAAAGATTAACATAAGCCTGTGAAGTCAAGGGACAAGCCTGAAAAGCAGCACTAAATGGCTGTAATGCAGGACTGAATGGCTCACTATGTGGGCTCGGAAACAGTCTGAAAACCTGTGTCAGTGGACACAGCTCAGCACCACATCCACACACGTAAGTTAAAACTCGAACGAGATCCAGAAGCGTTGCTGCCTCCTCTGGGCCAAGCCTCATTGAGGATCGAGTGAAGCAAAGTGGAAACTCTTGAATTCATTAGGAAATTCTGTACACAGAATCCTCATGGCTACAGAGGAGAGGAACTGTGCAGCTTGTTATTAGCACAAAGTTTAAAACCCACTAAGTGTGGATTAGTGGAAATACTTATTTATTTGTAGCATCATACACTGCTATTAAGTCTCTGTCAGGGAAAGCCTTGCTTGTTTCAGCAAGGATACGCACACACTCCTACAGGTGCTTAACTGCCTGCAGTCAATTCATTCAGATTATTCTGCAACAATAAAATAAAAATAAGGAAGCCCATAGAGTGGCTAAAATCCTATATCAAACTACGAAGCGGAAACCTTTCACTTTTCAAACTACAGCAACTGGCCTCCTCAACAAGAGAAGCGGGGCTGCAACACAGTGGGAAACATGGCATGCATTTACTGTCTTTTTACCATTCTCAATTAGAAATATATAAATGGATGAACGAATGTTATGCAAGCCACGTGATTCCACTTTTGACTGGCAGACACAGCAGTTGCTGTACAGTTTGTGAAATCATGCTGTTTACAAAGCAACCTAAGCAGTTTGACCCATATTACTAAGTGTGTATCCAACATTTTTCATCTACATTAAAATGTCCAGTGCTGTGCATATACACCGCTGTGTGAAAGCCAAGGAAGAACAACCTGCTGAAAAAACCCAAAGCACCTCAAGCCAAAGTGCCACGAGCAACACTGCATCAATTCAGTGTCGACCATGATTACAGCGCTGGAGTAATCTTCTGCACAAACTCCCATCGGTAGGACAAACTTCACTCTGCAGTAAATAAACACATTTACCAAGAATCAAAGCCGCTGCAAGAAGTGCAACTCCACTCCAGCTTTCCAAAGCCCCATTCTCTCAAATCTGGCATGTTCAGCAGGGAAGCTGAGGCAGGCCATTCTTCTTTCTTTTTTGGGGGGGTGGGCTCTTATTGTCCCCAGAAGCAGCTACGCACATTCCCGGGCAACCCTGATCATATGCAGCATGTGCCTGAATAATTCATTGGCATTCTTCACCTGGCAGGCTGGTTCATAGCGCCCCATGGGAAGGAGCAGCTCACGGAGCCTCCTCACTGCGGCTGACAGGTCGGACGGGAGAAGTGCTCTGCCATCCTCGTCCGACCTTGGTCCGCTGGACTATCCTGCTGCTGTCAGCAAACCGTGACCCTGTGACATATCGACCAAATATAAATAATAGGGCTTCAACTCTTCCCCCACCCCCTTCCTTTTTGATTTGGAAATCTAAACCGGCCCCCCCAGTCTACCGCATTGCTACAGCAGAGGGATGGGTCTGGCTCGCTCCGAGTTGGAGGATCAGTCTTCGGCCAGCTTCATCACACCAAACCCCGCAAGCAAGCAAGCAAGCATGCAGGATCATGACACGAATACTGATACATGACTGGTGGCTACTGCCGTTTGAAGCTGGAAGAAATGCCCAGATTTAGCAAACCCTCTCTTCTTTGATTTGGACTATTGTGCAGCCCGCACCACCTCATCGGCGACTGGCGGGTTCGGCTTACAGTAAAAATGGATCTATGTAACAGCAATAACCCCCATAAATAAATCCACTATGTTTGGCGGGGGTTGTAGTTGCAAATGCATCGTAAAAGCACTGCAGACGGCTGAAGAGAATGGCAAAAAAAATGTGTCGAAAAATAGGAATCTCATTGACAATGGGGGAGAGAAACACAGCTTATTAAACAACACAAAGACAGGAGGTTTTGAGCGGATTGTAACAAGCCGCCAAAGCGCAGCGGACTGATTTCAGGAGAGCAAAGTTGCTCCAGAAGAAAGCTCAAACTGTGTGGACTGCTACGTGTCCTGTTGTTTCTGCCGCCACGGCAGGAGGAGAGAGGGACACGGGAGCTGTTGCAGTCCTAAGGTATGTGCGGGGGAGAACTGCCTAAACTGAGTAAAATAAAGACGGCAAGGCTTTTAGTCTGCGCTGTGTCTGATGTGGTGGAAGGAGATGGGTGAGCTCTCGTACCTGCTATCCGTCGCATGCGTCTGTGTAGGCGGATGAGCTCCCGGTTCGCCCCGTGTCTTCTCCACTTTCTTCCAACTTGACGTTAGCTAGCAAGTCTGCTAATCGGAGGCAGCCCGCAGGCTTTCCCCGTGCGAGCTCAGGGAAGAAGAAAAACAACCTCCGCTGCTACAGCACAACGTGGCAGAACAACCATTACAGCCCGGAGAAGAGAGGCTTTCCCCGATTCCCCGCTGTCATGAGTCTACTTGAAAAGTTTTTTGTTTTTTTTACTCGTTTTTATTTTGGCGTTGACAGCAAGGACCCAGTGGTGACGTCGGTACGTACCCGCCCACGCGTGCACACGCCCCCCACCGCCGCACACCCCTTCACCAGACAAGAGTCTACGCTACAGTCTGTGGGTTACACCCACCAGGAACAAAAGCCACTGTATATTATGATTGATGATGATCCGCTGCAGCACAGGTAGTGGAGACGTACAGTCTGCAAGTCATGCTGCTCTGCTGGCCGATGGACTAACGACTTGCAAGAAGATATCTCACACGCACAGAGTGGACTGAGATATGCTCAAGGGGCTCAACTGTTGAGCACCAAACCTATCCATCATAAGTGGATCATGAGGATTTAAGTTACCCCAGGTGTATTAAATAATATGAGCTCAAACACTCCTTATGTATGTGTCAAATGTAATGTTGAAAAAGCCCCCTTACTTTAAAGCCTATGGAAGGAAAACTATGTAAACGTGACTCGTAGTGCACTGAAATAAAAATGAAAACTACACTTTAGCTAAAAATTAAATGAACCTTTGTCAGATCTAACAATACAATAAATGTAATATTTAAAAAATATATACAGGACATCTCTCCTTTTTTCAACAATTTAGTCTGGTGCATGTGTTTACTGAGATAGGAACGTCAACATGACTGTAGGAAGTGTGTCACAGTGTTTGTGTTGTCATACAGAGGTGTGGACTCGAGTCACATGACTTGGACTCGAGTCAGACTCGAGTCATTAATTTTATGACTTTAGACTTGACTTGAAAAAATGTTGTAAGACTTGTGACTTGACTTGGACTTTTACACCAATGACTTGGGACTTGAATTGGACTTGAACCGGTTTACTTGAAAAGACTTGATATTTTACCCCAAATATAAAATTTAACATGCATATTATATAGAGATTGAAAATGTGACGTCATTCACGGGTAGAACCGCAAAGGATTCTGGGAACTCGTGGCAAGAGGTACTAGCGCACGCAGGCTTTCAATTAAAATCAGTCACACAGCGATAAAAAGAAACACAAAAATGTCAAGAAGCTGTGTTTAAATGATATTTAAAAAAAAAAAATCATTTATTTATGTATGATATTTTTGTCATGCGATTTCAAAGCCGGTCCTACAACCGCATCCAAGAATAACATGCAGCTTATCTCAGAACTGTCGGTGAAAATTATTCTTGGAGCTAGGTTTAATTGAGCTGCATTTTAAAGAGGTGCAATTTCACAATTTGTGTATATTTTCTAAGTTAACTATTTTGTCATGTGTTGAGAAAAACACAGATTAAAAAATTACATGGTCTAATATTTACATTTAGCATAACTGCAACATGCTTTTTTTCGTTGTTTTTTTTTAAAGACTCGAAAGGACTTGAAATTCAAAGTTTCAGACTTGTGACTTGACTCGGACTTTTACACCAGTGACTTGAGACTCGACTCTGACTTGCCTGACATTACTTGAGACTTGACTTGAGACTTGAGGATAAAGACTTGAGACTTACTTGAGACTTGCAAAACAATGACTTGGTCCCACCTCTGTTGTCATACATAATTAGAAGTTCTTAAACTTTGCATTTGACAAGTACCATTCAAGACACTGAGGCAAAAATAAAATTCAAATATTGAAATTAAGCATTAAAGAATAAAATAAAAACATAATATAATATAAAATATAATATTAACTATAAGAGCTACTTTTAGCTCCTCCCATATTCACAAGGAGTCAAATAGCTCAGTATGTTTGCTTTGGCAGATTTTTAAGCTTTTTATGCAGATTGCTGACCCTCACTGAACCTGGTTCTGTTGGAGGTTTCTTCCTGTTAAAAGGGAGTTTTTCATTCCCGCTGTCACCAAGTGCTTGTATAAAGGGGTTGTCTGATTGCTGGGGTTTTCTCTGTAACAAAAAACACCTTGAGGTGACTGTTGTTATGATTTCAATTTTCCTGTAGACTCCTGGTGGAGCATAGGTCCGCAACAACACCACGCCAACGGACTCTGTTCTGGGCCGTTCTCTTCATCTGGGTCCATGTCATTCCGGCGGCCTTCACTTTGCTCTCGACAGATCTTCTCCATGTCTGTTTGGGTCTCCCCACTTTCCTTTTCCCTTGTGGGTTCCAGTCCAATGCTTGCATTGTGATGTTGTCGAGTGGTTTTCGAAGTGTGTGGCCTATCCAGCCCCATTTTCTCTTCTTGATGTCTTGACCGACCGGGTTCTGGCTGGTTCTCTTCCACAGGTCTGTGTTTGAGATCTTCTCAGGCCATCTGATGTTGAGGATGTGTCGCAAGCACTTGTTGATGAAAATCTGTATCTTGCTGGTAGTGATGTTGGTCACCCGCCACATCTCGGACCCATACAGGAGGACTGCTTTCACGTTGCTGTTGAAGATGCAGATCTTGCTGCGCTGAGATAAGGCTTTGGAGTTCCAGATGGGTCACAGGGTGTTGAATGCAGCCTTGCTTTGTTGATCCCGCTTCATCTGTGCCTCCATTGCTGTTGACTATGGTTGTTATGATTTAGCACTATGTTATTTAAAAGTTTTACATATTTGATATAAATCATTTAGCATTGTGTAAATAAAATTTAATTGTCATTTGTAAACCAAAACACTATAAGGCCACTAATTATATTTAAACTGAAAAATAAAGAAATGCAAATAAAATCTAGGAAGAAAAATAAACCCTTCTTTCTGTAAAAAAAAGATTCAAAATGTACCTGTCAAATGATCTTAAACACAGTTACTCATTGTGTATTTTATTTGTACCCAGAGGGCAGTGTGTGCAGAGAAACAAAGAAAAGAAAATGATCGACTTGTGCATATTACACGTGCAAGATGCGTGATTTCTCTCTGTTGGCAAGGCATAAAAAAGCCCTAGCAGCTATCAGCACGTCTCATCCTTTACAAATGAAACAAACAGGCAAAAGGTTTGAAATGCACGATTGATTTGCTTTGGAAATTTAATGGTGAGACACACCTAGGGATTGCAGTAAACTCCTTTGTCTGCTATACAGTGCTCTGTTGCTCAATATATTTTTTTATGTAATGTAATAACTGCTTTCTCTTAGCGGTGGAGGGATTTTTTTTATATTAATGTGTCCGTTTTTATATATATATATATATAAGTGTGTGTGTGTGTGCATTTCTATATGAAAAAATACATGTATGCTGTGAGTATAATTCATAAAAAGTCTCTTTTGAGATGTCAGTAAACCCATGGTCTGAATTCAAGGACATCACTCAGTTACATAGCTGGAAAAAAACGATGCAGACTACTGTTGAAGCAGGTTTCCAGGCAGAGTGAAATACCAGCAAGCAGGCTACAAGCATACGCTTATGTTCCTTTCATATAGCAGTTTGACAATCCAGACAATCCAGTTGTTTTGTTTTCGTTTTCTTTTGTTTTTTGTTTTTTTGGTTGGTTGTTTTTTTTTTTTTTTTAATCTGAAAAGATACAGAGGAGTAGTTACAACTGTATCCAGCCTATACCAGCATACTGCACAGACAATAGGAAAACAGCTTGAGTCACAATTAGGTTTAGGAAAAAATGTAAATTCATGAGTAATGACACCATGCATAAAGTAACCCTTTGAATTTTCTTTTCCTTTTTTTCTCCTCCATCAGGCGACTTTTGGCATGGTGACTGTTTGACCTCTTTGTTGCTTCAGCTTCTGAGTCATTTTGCAGAGATAACACTGAGTCAAGGTTGTCTGTCCTGTTCTTCCAGGACACAAACGATCACAGTCTACTCTAACCTTAAGCATAAGTGCCACCCATTTAACCCCGTCGCCTCCAGAACTTTGAAAAAAATGTTACCCCAAGAATTAATGACTTATATAATTGTCCTCATAAGGAAGACGTGTCCTCGTAATGAAAGTGAGTAAATGGATGTAGGTCCCCACAACATCTTTAATACCTGGACCACGGGAATCTTTTCTTCTCACACTCGTGCACCAGCATGTTCAGTGTGTGTAGTCAGTAGCCGTGGGGTTATATTGTGTGATGCATTATTCATAAGAAATTTATGAAGGTACAGTTTTTATTGAATTTATGCTAAGAAAAAAGCAGAAGGAGTGCAAAGAGTTAAAAATGTATCAGACGAGAACAGATGCAGGGATAGAGATTGCCTGAGACAATGCAAGAGGAAATTTATGTGCAGGTTTATAGACTGCATACGAAGGTGAAATCTCACACGTACAAGAAATTACAGGTTGGTTACAAGCAGAAAGCACAAAATCACTTTGTGACATGGCAGAATCTAAATTTATAGAGAATTAGATTTTAATTTTCAGATGTGCAGAGTGGAAACAAAGGACACTGTGACTGAATGCTTTGGCAAGAAGGTATGTGAGAAAGCATACAGAGATGGAGAAATGATATTTGTGTTCACTGAAAGAGTGTGTCGAGACAGGATGAATCTAATCCCTACACTAACAATGAAGAGCCTCACAGATTTACTAAACATCAGCTGGTAATTAGAGCAGATCAGATGCCAATCAAGGGAGTAGCACAGGGAAATAAAGAGGCGTGGGGAATGTACTGCCTTTAAATTATGTCAGACAATATGACAGAGGCAAGCATGCAAGCAGTGGTTGATGTGCCATCACTTGGTTTCCCAGTGGCATTGGGTTACAATGTGTCAGTGTCATTACCAGAAATTGTGTGCCTCCATACCATTACAATTGAATTTAGATTCCATAGTGGCCTACTCTAAGTGAAACATGTACAGTATAATGTTTACTATGGTTGTCAACACAAAAAGCACATTATGTGCATTAAGTACATTCATTTGGGTCCATAAGTATTTAGACAGTGATACCAATTTTGTGATAGGAAAGCTGGTAGAGAGACCAAGGGGAAGACATGTAGTAAATAGCCTCCAGGCAGATTGAAGCTCAGGCCTCTGCATTAACTGGCAACTCCACACTGGATTTTAAACCAACAATCAAAATGTGATCGAAGTGAAGGCTTTCAGCTTTAATTCTAGGGTTTTACCAGAAGTATCAGAGTAACTGTTTAGGATTTGCAGCCATTTTTATACACTTTAAGAAGCTCAAAAGCAATTGGACAATTGGCTGTGAAGCAGTTTCACGGTCAGGTTAGGCCTTTTTCCCACTTGAAGTGCATCACGAGTGTTTATTGCTGATGCGACTGCTGATAGAAGTAGCAGGTGACGTGTAGAGCAAAGGAGGAACCACAGCATTTGGTGATGTTCAGGGGCTTTAGACATAAAGCAGTCAATAATCAACGTTATGTTCGTTCGTTAAGTTCCTTTTGAGCCTTTGAATATTGATGAATGTGCATAAAAATGGTTGTAATTCTATTTTATTTATTTATTTATTTATTTATTTTTGTAATTCTATTTAATTGAATTCAATTTTATTTATATAGCACCAAATCACAACAAAATTCACCTCAAGGTGCTTAATATTGTAAAGTTAAGACACAATAATACAGAGAAACCCCAACAATCAAACAATCCCTTGTGAGCAAGCACTTTGGTGACAGTGGGAAGAAAAACTCCTTTTTAACAAAA